CTAGCGTGGAGAGCACGATGGGCTACAACTCCTAGTCCCCAGTTCCTTCCACAATATCTGTGACCTGCTGCAAGTAATTTTTCCACTTGCCTCAATCACTCAGGAACCTCTCAGACACAAGCCCATGCCTCCCAGGACTTTATCTGTCCACGTACACTACAACTAGAAATAGTCAAAGCTGCTTTTATTTGCGTACAGTCCAATTTGCACTATGAAACAACACACCTTAGGTCTTGTAATCACGTCCACATTTTCAATAATTCTCCTGAATGAAGGTGGCATTTTGTTGAGTATTCTGTGCTGCAAGAATTCTTGAGCTTTATGAAACATCAAGCCACCTCCCACCACCAGGATGGAGCTGTACATCTTCTTTTTGGTATCATCAGACGCTGAAAAGAAATGATAATCCACAGTTTTTCTCCATATCCATCACCACCCTAAGCCAAGTCATCATCATCTCTTGCTTGGACAACTACAATAGCCTTCTCAAGATCTCCCTCCAACCCATCCTCCACAGTGCAGCCAGAGTAACCCTGCCAGACACAAATGTGAGCATGCTGCAGCCCTAACGCCCCACCCTGCCCACCTCCTCACTGCTCGTAGGATTAAGACCCAAGTCTTTAAGGGGCCTACGAAGTCCAATGTGGCGTGATACTCACTCACTTCCCAAGCCTCATTCTCACATCCGCTTCCTTTGGCTCTCTGCAACCAGCCCCTCTGGCCTTCAACCCTCCTACCACATTGCCCTTCACAGGCTTCTTCCTCTGCTTGGAAGGCTATACCATCTGTGGCTGGCCGGCCCCAATTTATCCCCTTAAATCTCTCTCAAGTGGCTCTTCCTCAAGGAAGCCTTCACTGCCTCCCACCTTCCATGCCTCTCCCTAGTTAGTGAAAATCCCTTATGAAATTCCTCAATTAGAAGCTCTCACAGTCAGCACCCTTTAGTTCTACCTTGTAGCACCTGCCATGGTTTTAATTTCACATTTGTGTGATTATTTGACTTATTTTGGTCTTTTCCATTAGGTTGTATGCATAATGAGGCCAGCAACCCATTTGATTTCCTCAATACTGTATTCCCAACACCTAGCAATCAAAGCACAAAGTAAGTGCTGTTAGTTTTTGAATGAATATGCTACAGTGTACAACTATACCCAACCTGAAGCAATTCACTTAATTTCTAATGCCTGGTCTCCAAAAATGTGCTTACAACAGCAGTCTATGCTATGAAGGATGGCTTTATCCAGGCCCAGAGCTTTCCCTTCAAACAGCGAGATGGCAGTCTTCCTGGACATCAGCGCGGTGAGGGCCTCCTCAGAATCATTGCCAGCCATCAGGCAGTCTCCCTGGGAGGACCCCAAATCCACCTCCTGGGAATGGAGTCTTTCTGGAAGATCAGAGGACTGGCCACGAAGATCCCCTTCAAATCCAATGGGTTTGGATGCAGACTTTCGGTCAGCAGTAGCTTTTGCAGACTTTAAATGATCAAAAGGATGATCAAGTAAATGATATGACTACGACAGAACACTGCTAATATCCTCTAGCGAGATCCCACCCCCACCCCCACCCTACTATTATAAAAGAAGGCCTATTACTGTGGTGCAGAGAGGAAATACACCACAGTATATAAACCACCACCCAGTACTCACTCCCAGATATCTCAGGAGAGGTGGTATACAGAAGATAAGGATGCTCTGACAATCCCAAAGCCATCACAGGCAAGCTGGGTAGGCCTCAAAACCTTACTATCATTGGCTGGATTTTAAATTAGAATGTGAATGTAGAAGGACTTTTTTCCTCCTTAAATTGAGTTTTTAAGTGGAGTATTTCAGTGGGATTCATGGGCCAGTGGCTGTTACAGAATCCTCATTTTTAGATCTTATCTAACCATCTTTGTTTGCCTCTGGGACAGAAAAAAGACTGAAAGAGTTAACAGTCCTCTTCTACTCTCTCTCATGAGCTGCTGATGTTTCATTAGCTGCTAAGAGCTTTAATTTGCACCCCATGCATCAAACATCCTATTACTGGGACCAGCTTTGGACAAAGGAATTCAGCTCTTTGCCTAAGCCATACCCCTTTCACATTAAAAAAATAGGTAAGATTTCACTAAAAATACTTATTACTGGATAAATATTCAAAAGTATACAATGTAAGTAAATAATATGCATCAGATGGAAGTGTCTCCATTAAATTAAATTTTAAATATGTGGAGTAGTATTCTGAAAAATGGATTAATGTCTGCTGAATAAATAAATCTGTAATCCATATTTTAAATTTAGACTTCATTTCATCTACAGTTCTGAAAATAGCATCACCATTAGTATGGTGTAAGATTACAATGATTGCAGTAATCCATTAATTATGAGCAAACTCCTCCTTCAGGGGCAAACCTGTCTCCTCCTACCCTAGAATTACTGCACACCTGTTCTTGCTTGCTCTGAGTGGCCAGCAGATAATGCTCATCATGAGGATCCTCAGGATCACCCTGGGATCTGTGCTGTAAAGTTGTCATTTTCTGTCCAACAATTCCAAAAGTTGCTGGGTAGAACAAAGCCATTGGAGCCTGTGCATGGAAGGATAAGAGTGATCAATAAAAGATACTGCCTCTTGAGACAATGGATCCACTAAATTCTGTTCTTCCAAAAGCAAAACTGGCAGGTCAGATCCCATCAGTAAGACTGGGCAGCATTCCCTTTTGGGAGTAGCATTATTTCTTTGGTTCACAATGGGCCAGGAGATACACTCATCATCCAATTAAATGGGTGGTATGACACCATGTGAGAGAACTCTCAAAGCAAATGTAAACTAAGTGCCCAGCAATCTATTCTACAATTTCCTAGTAAGAACAGTGCAATCACATAGTGGCTAATGAAAAAGATGGTCCTCAGCTCTGTTCTAATCGGTACTGTATCAGTTGCTTAAATGTTGGTTTAGTGGCTCATATACAACCAGCTGACATTTACCTAATGAGGATTCCAGCAAGTGCGTATTCTCTCAGAGTGACTGAACCTGGATTGCCTCTTTCTACCCATGAAATATACTCCCAACGTTACCTGGAGTTTCTCGTCTCCTAATCGAAACTGGTAAAGCAGGGCTGGGGAATCAGGATGTCGAATCTGAAACTCATGATCCTGTAGCCCAGAGATGTCCTGATTCCAGGAAAGATGCAGTTAGTAAATCAGTAAAAACACATGTAAACGCCGCAAATTACTCCTAGTTAAACCTTTCTACCACCTAAATCTCAATTAAAAGCTCACCCTACAACTTTCTACCACTCCCACTGTAACTTAATAAAACAAGACTTTAGTTATATCTGGCTTCCTTCCTTTATTGTTTCTGAAATTTCCACCATCTACATTTCTATGTTTCCTTCATTATCAATATATGCTAATACAAACAATAACCCAAATCAATAAGCAAATTCCCTTCTATAACTGGGAAATATTACCTGTCTTTGTATGTTTCTCATTTTTTGTATTCAGAATTTTATTACTTGAAAAAGATCTTTAAAAGTCTAAAGCAAAAAGTATAAAAAGGTAGCAATCCACATATAGTAATAATTAAATGTTGTTCTATTACAATACTACGACTGTGCTATGCTCCAAATTTGCCTTTTTATTAAATGTCTGTACCTGTATATTTACCTGTTACCATTCACTATTCCTAAAGATTTACCTTCATTCTTTACCAGAAAGGTCACAAACTCCTAAAGAGAGAGAAATCTGCTAAACTCTCTTTCCTAAAATAATAAACCGTGTTTTCCAGGGCCTGAAACACAACCTCACTGCTCTGCTCTTACCCACAAACTCCCACTATTCCTTAAGAGCTTCAGCTTACAGCTTTATCAACTTGGGTTGAAAATGGTAACATAATATTGTTAAATTTTTAAATATCTTAAATTTTTCTTAGAAATAAAAATGATCAGCAATATCGACTTTGCTCCCACCTGATCTAAATGACAAAAAGTTTCTTTAAGGTGCTGTAGAAGAAGGCAATCCATTTTGTTTGTTAACTGGCATTCTCTGTACGGGAACCCAGCTCGCTGCATTAGCCAGTAGAAACATCTTGACACATCAGATCCGCCATATGCCAGACAGAGGCTAGAGTTAAGAGAAAAGAGCAGACGTTTCATGTGTTGTTTAAGAGGGTGCAAAGGGTGTTTCAAGAACTCAATTAGCCACAGTGAAACACAGTGGATTTCAAGAAATGTTTGTTGTAAGAAGAGACTAAAGGATGAAAGAGCAGAATGGATAGATAGATGGGAGAGAAGGTACTCTGGCAAAACCAGTGGTGGGGCCTAGGAGGGATCATGTGGTTTGCAAAAAGTAACTAAGAAACAGAATATACAATACTGAATCCAGCTTGTTTCCAAGTCAATATATGCTTACCGTATGAGTACAGTTGGAGTGTCTTCATTAGCATGTAAAGGTAGCAAGCATCGATATCACAAGACAAACTTACGGGAGACAAGCTTAAAGAAAACTCTACCCACTAACTGAACATTTCTACGACTTGCAGAAAACCACTGTTAGACTATTTTAGTGGTAGGAGAACCAGGATTAGTGTTTTCTCCACAACTTGAGAACGAATAGCATTAGATAACTAAAACAATGGAGGAATCAAAAAACTCATCTGGGGTTTTAGAATGCATTGTGATTAGGGGTGAAAGGTAGAAGACTAACCTTCCTCATGGACTGCTCAAGTTCTCTTTAAAATGTTTTATGCCTGGAGGCGTAGACTACCGAATGTGGGGCCAGGAAGAAGACATCTCAGGAGCACAAAATGCTGCAGAGGACCTGAGTGTGCTCACTTAGGCTGCACTCATCTCAGGAAGGACAAGTAGCAAACCTGCTTCTGATAGCTAATTTACTCACCCATGTATCAGTAATGACATCATCAAGGGACTTGGCCACCATGAAGTTACTTCTCACTTGCTGAATGCCATTATGACAAGAAAAGCAAATACCCAAGACACTCACTGGCTAGAGAATTCAGACTTAAAACTTGCCTAAATAAAGCTTTGCTGTGAGTGTATAGTCACTATCTCTATGCAGACACAGTAAAAGACAAACAGCACATATGTGTCCTCTGAGGGAAGCACACAATACCTACTAGGACATTCAGGATTGCTGATGTGAACTCCTACTAGAGAGTGCCAATGGGAAGGGTAAGTCATTTGTTTAGCTAGCTTTGCTAGAATTCACACTTTCAAAATCTTGCTGGTTTCCTATGCAATGGTTTTGCATATATAATTTCTAATATATAATTTTTTTCTAACTTGTGATGCTTTAGAGTCGAACAGCCTGCACGGGAAGAGGGAGTGAGGAATGCCATCACCCAAGTTCCTTACCGAGTGTTGCGATGAGAGATCCCATCCTCTACACAACATACACTTGTCTTCTGGTCCCCAACATCTACAATACATGTGCTGCTTAAGCCACTTCCAAAGGTGGCACACACAGACTCCTGATGGACCACGATCCCTAGAAAACAAACGCCAGAGAAGCGATGAGCTGCGAGGAGCAAAGATCCTTAAACAGATGATCAACCAGAGTTAGGAGTGTAGGAACTTCTGGGTAAGGGTACAAGCAATTTATATAAAGTATCTGTGACACTAATTCAGGTGTTCTGAGGGTAGTTATGGTTTTCCTACTTTTTAAAGAAAATTCCATCTTGTATTTCATAATGACATAAGAAAATCACGTAAATGGCATTATGATATAGAGAGGTGATAAAAGAATGAATCTAAAGGAAGAGTGGGCACTGAACCTGTTCCGGGGTCACAGGGATCTGTCTTGTACCATTTGACATCTTTTTAGACCATATGGCTTTTAGACCATACCTCTCAGGATGAGCATTCAAATACATCAGTGAATTAGTTTAACTTTGTCATTTAAAAGAGAAAAATGCCTTTAAAGTAGGTTTCACTGGGAATACCAGACATACCTGAAAAGCCCATCTTCATTAGGATCATATTCACTAATTCTTTCACATGCTGTTTATTATAAATATCAGGAATTAATAAGATACATCTATAATACTGAAAAGAAAGAAAAAAGAAAGATAAAAGGGTTAACACTCAATTCCAGTCAAAACAATTTCACCATACTTGTCTTCAGAGATTTTTTCCAAGAGTAGAAGCTATGGTTAGAGGCTCAGAATAAAAACCCATCCCTCTCTGCTACCTTTGGGGTTTTATAAAGAAACAGAAAATTATGGTTTTTACTTCTGAATTATTTAAAACTTGAGAAATGAAAAACAAGACAACTCGTGTCTGGATAAGGACCAAAGAGAAGGCATAAACATGTACAAGCTTCTTATACTTTTGCTTTGCCCCCACTTGCTTATTACAGAGCCGTAGAGTGACACACACACACAAAAATAAACAGAGTAAGAAAAAGGGAAAGCACCAGAGGGAATTAAGTGAAAAAGAAAAGATATCCTCACCACCTTAAGGCTGAGAATGCTTCAAGAAGGGCACTGTATCATGAAGAACGCAGTAATGTGTGCTCTTATTGACCAAGAATCTTAAAGACAATCCAAGTAACTGGAATTGTAACTCACCTTTAAATCTTTCAGTGGGATTTCCAAGTATTTTTGTATTGCATGAGACCATATTACTTCAATATCTGCCAGAACAGCCGTAAGGGAGCCCCCAGGTCCTGGGTGAATATTTAACTGACCTCTTCTGATGGGCCAGTGAATATTGTAACAGTCCAGTGGATTAACATACAAGGCCTAAAGAAGAGAGAGGAGGGAATGCATTGTTGAATCTCTTCTCTTGGCGTTTTCAAAAGACTCACATCCAAAAATCTAAGGCCAGAAATTATCACTAACATTTGCTGAACGTTCTAAATGTTCAGAGTGGAGTTATCTAACACTTCAGGAGCCTGTGTGAACATCTGGTCCTCAAAAAAGGATTAGAGAATACTAGCAAACAACTAGAACTGAGTGGCAAAGTAAATGAATTTTAGGACGAGGATCAGGTTTTTCTTCTTCTACTTCATTGTAAAGAAATTTCCTACCTCTTCTCCTACCAAATACTCAGGGTGATGAGATGTGTTTGTCCACTTATTTCCAGAACAGTGATCTAAAATTGCAGGTCGCATCTGCTTGTTGTAGGAGCGTGCCTGAAAATAAAGCATCAGAAAATTCTCTGACTTTATGAAAGAAAAAAAGGGGGGGGGGGAGTATAAGAGTTCCTTTTTCTCCACTAACAGATGAGATACAGTGGCAGATTTTAATCACAAATCTAAGATATTTGGTAAAACGTTAACGGTTCACAAAAGGATTCTCTTGTTCTTTTCCACAATCTTGATTTTTTCCTGTGATTTTAACGCCTAGGCTGTGATTCACAGCCAGTCTAAAATTAATACCATATTCTGTTTGAAGTTGAATACAAATTTATTTACAACATTCATTTCTAATAGCTTGTATTGGTTTATCGTATTGAACTGAAGAACGCAGTAAGAATACAGCTTCCCAGCAAGACTCTGGAATTATATACTTAAATGAGACTCTCAGGTAAACTGTAAACTTTCATCAGCCTGCCTTATAAGAACACCTTATAAACTACCTGGTTTGCCGAAGTATTTGTGACACTGATTTAGGTATTCTGCAGGTGGTTATGGTTTTTCTTACTTTTTAAAGGAAATTCCATCTTGCATTTCATAATGACATAGGGAGATCACGTGAATGGCATTATGATATAGAGAAGTGGTAAAAGAATAAATCTGAAGGAAGAGTGAACACTGCACCTGTTCTGGGGTCACAGGAATCCGTCTTGTACCATTTGACATCTTTTTAGACCATATAGCTTGATCCACCATTTTAAGGCCATTTTGTCTTTGTTCATTACTTTCAGGTTTCTGGGAAGAAGAAAAAAAGATGACTGGTATAAAGGCAAACTATTAATTTAATCCACCAACAGGAAATGCTCCCTCGTCAGTAAGTAGCATTTCCTATTCTTTTATCATATGTATTATTCTTAAGAATGCCAAATAGTCTTTTTACTCTTTATAAGGAAGTAAAAAAAGAAATGCTTACCATAAACCAACTATTTGCAAAAATCTATAACCTGAAGTGACTTTTAACTGATAAAAAATTTCCTAGTACTAATCAAAGCATATGTTGTTAGTTGCCACTGAGTCGATCCTGACTCTATATTTACAAAGTATTTTAGAGACTCTTCCATACATCTACGTAATTCCCATGTTTATAATTTTGTAACACTATTCATTTTCCTTCATAAATTTTATTTTGTTTAATCAACAAGTATTCCACTTATTGGGATACTGTAGACAACACATTCATAAATATCTCTGAAGAAATGTTATTGTTTTGTTTTGAATTTTATTCCTGAGATTTATTCCCTAAAGTAGAATTATAAGATGCAAAGGTATAATGAGTTTTAAACTCTTATACTGTCAAATAATATATAAGCTACTGAACTTACATACAAGGAGGCCTAGTGGCACAGTGGTTAAAGGGCCTGGCTGCTAACTGAAAAGTTAGCGGTTTAAACCCACAACAGCTCCGCAGGAGAAAGATACGGCAGTCAGCTTCCGTAAAGAATTACAGCCTTGCAAACCTTACAGGGCAGTTCTACTCTGTCCTATAGGGTCAAAGAGTCAGAATCGACTCAACAGCAACAGGTTTTTTTTTTTTTTGGTTTGGTCTTGCATACATTTTGCTAGTTATGCTAAAAAATGGAACCCTAAGGCTTAATATCAGAATTATAGAAACTGCAAGTTCCTGAAATTATCCTTGATTTGAAACTTGCAAGTTAAAAGTGGACTGTGATGCAATCTATAGACTTAACACCTTTCATGAAAAATAATCTTAATAATTACCATCTGTAAAATAGGATAGAGTAAATGCTTACTCCAAGGAAATACATGTTTTTGCCTTTAAATTATAGTTTGATATAGGACTGTAATGAGTGCTTATTGTAGCAATTCACTCTGTTAATGGGCTGAAAATGTGAGCTCAATTTAAACTCTAAGTATCTCAAGACAAAAATACAGCAGTCTGATAATAAAGACACAAATATATCATTTTAAATGAGTGACAATTCTGTACCTTCCATTAAAGATTACATGCATCATCACTGAACTCATCCGATGGGTTTAAAAAAATTGAATTTACTTCTGTGATAACTAACTCTTTACAATTCATAATCGCTAGCTCAGATGAAAAATGGTATTTTATAACTCTGAATGATGTTATTACTTTAAGACACACTAAAGCTATGAAGAGGTTTACTCAAGTTTACCGGCTACACTTCAGCAGCTAAGCCCTCCTATAGAAAAAACCTTGGGCTTTCTCTCCAGGTCTTCCGTCTCTGACTTACATTTAGTCCCTCCCTTAGCAGCCAGTTGTCCTTGTATAGGGGCTGCCCTGGTTGTTTGTGTCTTCTTGCAATGATGTGAGGAATGCTGGCAGGAAGTGTGTCTGTGGCTCGACCAATCCTCAAAGTTGTTGAACCCGGATGAATGACAACGATGAAGTTGCTCTGGATTTGCTACAAATATAAAACATAGAAGCATGAGCTGGTAAATAATATGCAGGTGACAAATTAAATACCATACAGGTAATAAGCAAAACTAAAAAAATTAGTTTCCTGTAATGACTACTGAACTCAAAAATATCAAAATAATTCGGTAAAGGGTATTCTTTGAGAGGTATCCAATCACTGCTTGCTCTCTGCCTAAATGCAAATTCATTCTGTATCTCTGTGTTCCCAGGATCTGACTCATAACAGAAGGCTCAACAAATACTTTTTTAAATGAATGAAACCAAAATTATTTAATGCAAATCAATATATAATTATTGAGCTTTTATGTGCTAGGCACTCTGAGTACAGTGGTGCCCAGGGCAGACGAAGTCCCAATCAACAGAGAACTTTCTGTTTACTGAGGAAGACAATTAACAAGTAATAAGAGCGTGGGGAGGACCAGGACTGTGAAGTCCTGGGTTCTAAGGGAACACACAGTCCAGGGCAGTGATTTCCCAGCCTATCCTTAAATCCAAATCACTTAAAAACTTTTGGAAAAAACGAACAGATTTTAGCCTCCACTATAAATTTTCCCAGTCAGAATCTCCAGGGAGAGAACCTAGGAATCAGCAATTTCAAAAAGCTCCTGAGGTGATTACTATGACCACTCTGGTCTGATAACCAGTGGTTGAAGGGGTCAGGGAAGAAATTAATGTGAAGACTGAATTATTATTTTATAGTGCTGAAAAGTAAGGCTTTATAAATCAACCATTCAGAGGGTGTTTATAAAATGCATTTTAGTCACTGTTTTTAAATCACCGTTTCCCCTTGTTGGTTCTACGCTACTTAGCTGATCTGGCAAGAGCCTGGGATTAAAAAGCCGGAGTTCCAGCCCCTATGTCAGAAAACTTTGCTGCATTTCACTATCACTCTTGGATCCCTATTCTGGAAAAATTCATTCTTGGGGGCAAGTGAACAAGGACTGATAAAACAGCACAAATTCAGGAGAGTGAAGTGGTAACTGTGGGCTTTCCTTTTAGACGATATTTCTTTTAGCTCTGTAATTCTCAAGGGCACAGAATATTATCCAAACCACTTGGGGTATCTTTACTACACACACTTGTTGAGCTCAGAGTTTTGAGAGGAAGGAGGGGAGGAAGGGACTTTGACGGTGTGACAACAGGAATCCCACTGCAGAGAACCACAACTCCAGCCTGACTTAGCCAGCACCTACTCCACCCTGCCCTTCAGCTACAGTTGCCTCCTTTTAAAATATTTCAGTTGTTTTCCAATAACAGTAAGTCCAGAACCCTCCAAGATCTAGACCTTGCCTTCCTCCCTAGCCTCACTCTAGAACCTCTTCCTTTTCAGTCTCTATAATCTACCCAGTCTAGATTTCTCTTTGATTCCTTAACTTGCCATGCTGATGACCAGGCCTTCACAAAGGTGACTCCCTTTGCCTGCAATGTTCTATCTCCCAGCTAAATCTTACTCCTCCCTTCAGGTCTAAAGTTAAATGTCATCAGAAGAGGCCTGGTGGTCCCCGATCAATACAATTTTATAGCACTCCTTCTCTTTTCATGACATTTATGACTTTTATTTGTCTGCCTTCCCAACAGACAAACTTCACATGAGAAAGGCCCATTTCAGTCTGGTTCACTACTCATTCCGAGCACATGGCACACACACTGGCTGAATGATGACATCACACTCCTGTGGCATAGTGTTCAACAGTACTTCCCAACCTTGTTTGTGCTATGGCAGACAAAGGAAAGAACATTTGTCCAGCAGACTGGAGAAAACAGATGAGGCTGCCTGCCATCAGTGATACCTGCACCTCATTAACAGCACACAGGCTGCAGCACATGGATTGAGAGGCTCTGAGGTAATAAATGTGGTATGGTAAATAAATAATGATATGTCAACAAACATTTTATGAATTATCTATTTTAAAGTGTATTAGAGAAAAAAAAAAAAAAAAAGTAGCCAATATAGCCCACACATCACTTCCTGGATATTACTGCTTAACACAAAATTAAGTATATCTATAAGGGATCATAAAGGGTTGCTATGAGTTGGAATCGACTCGACGGCAACAAGTTTGTTTTTTTCTGGTTTATATGGGATCAAAGTGATGACAGCAACTGGAAAGATTAGATACAAACTTTAGGGGGCAGGGAGTTTATGTTAATGGGAGAAGAACAACTCAAAAAAGGAGGGTGAGAACGGATGCACAAGTGGAAGAGTATAATCAATGTCACTGAATTGTACACGTAGAAACAAGTGAATCGGTGTCTTTTGCCGTGTATATTCTCAACAATGAAATAAAAAAAAAAAAGATTGAGTTAAATATGTATTAAGCAAAACAGTACAGCTGCCATTTGAGAAAACCACTGTTATAAACTGGCAAAAGTTAAAGAAATGTTGCTCTAGTGGTTAAGGGCCCAGGCTCTGGATTCACAGATATGGCTTCAAATTCAGGCTGTGCCACTTCCTTTATTTGGATGAAGTTCTACCTCATACTTACTGTGAGAATTAAATGAGTTAACCATGTAGCTCGGAGCCTGCCCACAATAAGCATTTAGTGAATGCTAGCTCTTAATAATATGGTAAAGTCTTCCAAAGGCCTCCAGTGCCTTGAGGATACTCCACACTTTGGCTTATATGGCCCTCATGATATGACCCCGGCTAGAATCTCCAGTCTCATCTCTTGCTCCCTCCTCTTCCTCAATTCCAGACATCCTGATCTACTGTGTACCTCCAACACTTCACATTCTCTCTTGTCCCCAAGTCTCTTCCACGCTCTTCTCCCTCCCTGAGACTCTCCCCTCTCCCTGGCTCACTCCTAATTATCCTGGTCCAGTCCAGATATCACGTCCTTTGGAGAAACAGTCCCTGACTACCAAGGCTTGGAAGGTACCTGCTGTGTGTACCCAAGACCTCTCTGTATGGCCCTCTGCAGCTAGCCCATTCCACACCATGCTCTGTATCTGTCACCCTAACCCCAACTCTGAGCTCTCCCCGCTAATCTGACTTAATCTTATCCTATTTTTTAACACACAAGCTCTTTATGTTTATTTAGACAAATGCCTACCTTTTCTTTTGGTGAAGGCTTACAGAACAAATAGTTTCTCAGGAAACAGTAGTACACACATTGTTTTATGACATTGGTTAACGACCCCACAACATGTCAACCCTCTCCCTTCTCTTCCTTGTTTTTACACTTGAAATGACTTCCACTATCTGAGATTTCTTTAACAAAGGGAAAAACCGAGTTTCTAAATATCCCTTAACAAGTACGGGTATCCCAGGCACGGAGCAAAACTTTATCAGCGATCTTTTTTCAATCCTCACAGAACCTGGGAGGTAAAAAAACAAAACAAAAAACAAACACCAAACCTGTTGCCGTCGAGTCGATTCCGACTCATAGCGACCCTGTTGGACAGAGAAGAACTGCCCCATAGGGTTTCCAAGAAGCGGCTGGTGGATTCGAACTGCCGACCTTTTGGTTGGCAGCCGAACTCTTAACCACTACCCCACCAGGGTTAACTTGGAAAATAGGTGATATCAATGTCCTCGTTTTATGGCCAGGGAAGGTCCTGCTCAGGGATGAAGCCCTTGCCGAGCTCACAAGCCAGTGGGTGGAAACAGGCGGTCGAAACACAGCCTGGGTCCGGGTCTTCTGCCCCTGCAGCCTCGGGGCGACCTCGCCCGCCCCGCTGCGCGCGGCGCTTCCTGGCCCTCAGCGTCCCGGCGAGCTACTATCCTGGAAGGAACAATCCCTCACACACTCACCTGAATTGAGGTCTGGAGAGCAGATACCCGAGCCTTTTCCGACCGCCACCACGCCTCCTCCGTCCCAGCAAAGCTCGGCGCCCCCCAACCCGGGCCCGCCCCCAGAGCCTCACCTCCTGCAGAGACTCCGGCACCAGCGCGGGCACGATGGGCCGCTTCACACCGCGCTGCTCCTTCTCCTTCTCCCCGCCCTTCTCCTTCCCGTTTTCTGTGTCCCCCTTTTCTGCCTGGGTCATCGTGGCCACCCACCTCTTCCCTCAGGGCCGCCACCGCAGGGGCCCTCAGGGCGGAAGAGCCACCGCCCAGGCGCAGCCTTTAGGCCGGCTGCCCATAGTTAAAATGGCCGCTGCAGGAGTTGCCCCAGAGCATTCCGGGAAATTGGGAAGGGCGGGGCTGCCAGGGGAAGACGGGGGCGGAGAAGGGGTGTACTTTGCGTGGTTGGTGCTGTGATTGGCCCTAGCTGTAGGACGCCTGCAACATAATAGACTGGTTAACTGTTTTATTTTGAGCGGCTTACCGTGGGCCAGCATTATCTCACTTCGTCCTCACACTTGTCTCTTCTCCTGGCTTCCCAGACACCGTACATGCTGCTTGTTCTCATGCCTCACTGGTTATGCTTTCCCAGTCCAGCCTCTGAGGCTGGGATTCTCTGGGGCTAGGTCTCCTCTCCACACACTCCTTGGGAGATTTTATCCAGTCTCATATGGCTTTAAATATGAAAACAACTTGCAAATATATATTTCCAGTTTGGACCTCTCCCTGAGATCTCAACTTATAACCAACTGTCTATTTGGTATAGGCATTACAAATTTATGTCCAAAACAGAACTCTTGATTCCTGCCCTCCCCACTCCAAAAAAACAAACAAAAAAACTGCTCCAATCTGCACCACCTCAGTAAAGGTTAATTTGATTCTTCAGTTTTCCTCATTCTCTACCTCCAATCCTTCAGCAAGTCCCGCATTGTCTTAAATACATCACGGATTCATCCATTTCTCTGGATTCTTACTGCTATTACCTGGTCCAAGCCACTGTCCTATCACTACAACAGCTTCTCAACTTCCTGATTCCAATCTCATCCTCATACCACTTGTTCTTCATACAGGTGCCCAACTAGTTTTAAAAATACTATGTAGTTAATACGATGTACCCAGCACTCCACTTAATATTACCAATGAGTTATTGTAAATAAAATCAGTTGTCACACCCGTGCTTTAAACTCTCATGATATTCCTTTGCTCACAGAACAAAATCTAAACTAACCACAGACTGTAAGACCATACTTAATCTAGTTCCTACCTACATTTCTAACTTCACCTTGTATCACTCTCCTATCTACACGTGCTCTTTCAGCTTCTCAGACATGCCAAGCCCTTTCCCTCATTGGGCCGTTGCACTTGTTGCTCCACTTGCCTTGGATGCTCTTCCCTCAGCTTTTCCCATGGTTGGTTCATTCTCATCCTTTGTCTCAACTCAAATGTCACCTCAGAGGGGCCTCTCCATTGTCCTCTCACCATCCTGTTTCCTTTGAAGCATGAATTAGTCTAGTTATTTTGTCTGTTCACTTACTGTCACCACACCACAATGTAAGCTCATGGAGAAGAGGAACCTTGTCTAACTTATTCACCACTCTTACCTCCAGCACATGGCAGGGACCCAATAAACCCTTGTTGATTAGATACTGATGAGTGAAGAACCCTTTGAGGTAGGAACTAGTTAATCCCCATTTTATAGTTGGGTGAACTGTAATGAGAGAAAAGATGTAGCAGCGCTTCTGAAAAGATGACAGACTTGGAAAAGAAACCCTATGGCGCAGTTCTATTCTGTCCTGTAGGGTCGCTATGAGTAGGAATTGACTCAACGGCAGTGGGGAGAAACTGTAATGACATAAAATAACTACCTCAAGATCACAAGCTATTGAATGTCAAAGACAAGATTTGAACACAAGCTCCACACTACAGTAATCTGTCTCACATGCAGATGCAGAATGAACAGTTAAATCCCAAATGTGGCTGGGAGCTCTGGGATAAGCCCTGAGGGACAAGCCCAGCAGCAGTCATCATGGGAGGGTGGGGATTAAAGAGGATCATGGGTCACATGCACAAGGCAGCCATCAATACAACTGAGCCAGCATCCACTAAGACTCTGCTATGGTCTCTTAATACAGCATAAGGTTGAAGATTTGACAGAATGACTCTGCCATTCACTAGCCGTACAACTGAGGTTGTTACAAAACTTTACTGAGCCCTTGCACTTACCTGTATAAACAGATATCAACCTACGTCAGTTTGTCAGAATTAAAAATATACAAAAGAAAATATCTGACACAGAATCAATAAACTGTTGCTATTTTCATAGTCCTTATCTAAAACTTATAATTGCTTGTTTCCTTATCTTTGAAGACCAGGGTCTCATGCCACTACACTCCATTTTCTGGCAAATAGCAGGTTTAAATAAATGCTGATAATAGGATATAAAAAGGCTTCCACTTGAAAACTTTGGTTTCAAAGCCTGTTAAACCCTGGAAGTAGGACTAATGGTATCACTAATTTTTCCAATACTTATTTCAGAGACTATTATGTGCAGATACTATTCAAAGTACCAGGGTAAACAAGACAAAATCCCTAAGCTCATGGAGCTTCCATTCCAGTGGAAGAATATGTAAGTTACTAGCAATCAGATGGGGTTTAAAGCTAATAGGCAGTATCTTAAGCAATGGTTTAGAATTCAAATTTGAAGCCAGAATTGTGTAGCTTAGTTTGTTGGCTATGGCTTCGTTAATACCTTGATAGTTTTATCCATAGCAGATCAGACACATTAGATCTATGGGACAAAAATGTTTCAAGATAAAAATGAATTCAAGAGCAGATACTGTATGCATACTAACAAAATAAATACAATGTGATTTATTTATAAATGAAAACAAATTAACAATGAACATTATTTCAGAAGCTGAAAAAGGAGACACTAAGGTGAGGCTAATAGTACAGAGTACACAGCCTTTTATTTTCTTCAGATTCAGATTTTTGTGTTTTAATTATATAAAGATGAGGAGCCAGTTTTGCAACCTAAAAATATTTACTTATTAAAACTATATTAATGCTTTAATAAACTATACAAAAGAGATAATGAGACAAACATGTGCATTTATAGAACTGCATGTCAGCCATGCCAGATCCCTGCAGAGGGAATTCCCAGCACGACCTCATTCGTCTGTGGGGACACAGAGCCATCTTTGTTTAGACATACACATTGCTCTATTTGTCCAGCATGATCAGCCCTCCACTTCTTGATGGTTTCCTTCTGCTATGGACGTGCACGTCCAGTTGTCTGCTGCTTAGAGCAGACGTTTACCTAAAGGAAAAAGTTACTAGTTATTAGTTATTAATTTGGATCATTTTGAAAATAATCCAACAATCATTAAGTGTTATAAAACCATTTTTCAAAAGGCATTTTAATAATAAAGCCAGTAAGTTTTACAAGGATTATGGTTTAAGTGTTTTTCCCAATAATGATGTCTGAGTAATTATGAAATGTTGGGCAACTTCTGATTTCCTAAAGAAAATCTTCCTAAGGAGGCATTTTCAAAATAAAACCCTTGCAAAATAATTTCAGATTTTAGGTTACCTTCCTCATCCACCAGCCATTGGAGGAGGACTAGGGCCACGCAGATGATTGATTCGACCCATTCTTCGGGGAGGGTTTCCAGGTGGCCTAATAAATGGAAAAGTTAATATCTACTGTTTGGTAGACAAACTTCAATTGGTTCCGCTTAAACACTCATATAGCCCCTTTTCTTTTTCTATACCCACAATGTCACCCTAAAACATTACTCAAAAAAAAAAAAAACTACTGTTTAGGTCAGAAGTCATAAATTCAAATACTTATAGGGATCAGACCTATAATGTACATGAGGAAAGTGAGTTTAACAAAGATTGTGATGAACTGAACAGCACCTCCTGTAAATGTCTGACACTCAGTTCCAGCTGATTTTTGCATGTGGAAACACAAGCCCAGTCCAGTGTTGCCTGATCTTCCAAGTTTTTCATTAGAAGCCAAAAATCTAGATTCTAAAGCGAAATCTCCAGATTTTAATGTTGGCCACCAGCTTTCATCCTCTAATTTAGACTTTTCCTATAGGATACTTGATGCACATTCTACTTTGCCAGATTAACTCTGATTATCACATCAGCAGCAACCTGACTTTTAATTTATAGTAATGCATTCACTTCATGAAATAGGATTTAAACTTCTGATTTCCATAAGACTAACTATATACAATACATCGTTTAATTAAAATATACCACAAGGGTAAACATATCTATTACCAATTAAAAAAAAAAAGCTATACCCTCTTCCATCATCGTATCTGGAATCAGATGAGCTTCCATAGCCTCTTCTTTTCTTCACATCTTGTTGAAGCAGAGTTTTGAAACTGAAACGAGGCAGAAAACGAACAACGGAGGAACCTCTCACTTTCAACAATATAATAACATATTCTTCCTTCCAAGGCTTCAACTATCCTATGAGAGGATGACTCTACACCCACATTTCTCACAGCCAGCTGGACGTTGCCACCTAGTGCAAGCACATGTCTAAAACAGGATGTGCTGTGTTCTATGCCAAATTTACCCTTCCTTGCCTCTCTGATTTGCTAATAACTCTCCTTGACAGACCCTGAAACCTGAGTCATCTCAAACTTCTTTCCTCCACACTAAATCAGTTGTCAGGTTCTAGAGGCTGTCTTTGCAGTATCTCACGTTCACTGCCCCCACATTTACCCTGCCAATACTCTAACCTAATGTGACCTTGGGGAGGAAGAGGCCTAGGGTGGTGTGCCAGAGGTACAGGACTTCTGGGAATCTATTTAAATAGAATTTTCCTTATTTGTAGAGGGAGAAGGATTTAACTAACATAAAACATTATTTTTAATAAACAACATGGAGTAGGTAAAATGTGTAAGAAATTGTAGAGAAATTTTGCACTAGGTAATGATCTTAGCACTTTCTTGCCCCCTGCTGTATATTTCTACTGAATCATCTCTTCTGTTTTACATTCTACTCCTTCTAATTTATGATACATGCTGTCACCAGATTAATCTTTCTAAACCACAGCTACAATCAAATTAAGTGCAAAGATCATAGCCTGATATTTGAAGCCTCATACTACCCAGCCCCCCACAGTCCCCACCTTCCCACCTGAAAGTCAAACTTTTATGCTACCCTTCATGTACTTTCTTCCACCTGGAATAACTTCCTCTCATGTCCACCTCCCACAATCATACCCACCCCCAATGCCAAATGGAACATGAAGATATTTACTGATCTTAAAGT